CGCCTTCGGCATGTTTTAACGCGTCTGAGAAACGCCAGTCTGCAACTGAACCTAAAGAAGTGCCAATTTGCAGCTCGGCAGCTGACAATACTCGGCTACGTCGTGTCCAAGGACGGAATTCTCCCTGATCCAACCAAGCTTCGGGCCGTGACCGAGTTCCCCAAGCCGACATCCGTGAAGGAACTGCGCAGTTTCGTAGGACTGTGTTCCTACTTTCGGCGCTTCATTCGAAACTTCGCGACTATCATATCGCCGCTGACGAAGCTTCTCGGAAGTAACGGGCCTCTCCATTCGTGGTCATCACAGTGCGACGACGCTTTCAGAACACTTCGTCGTTTGTTGACGTCGCCTCCCATACTCCGCCACTACGACCCTACGGCCCCTACAGAGGTACACACGGATGCCAGTGGTGTCGGCCTCGGCGCTGTCCTTGCGCAGCGCAAACCAGGGTTCCCGGAATATGTCGTGGCGTACGCGAGCCGTACGCTTACTAAAGCCGAGACTAATTACACAGTCACCGAGAAAGAATGTTTGGCAATCGTCTGGGCCCTTGCAAAGTTCCGACCATATTTGTATGGTCGCCCATTTGATGTCGTCACCGACCACCACGCACTATGTTGGTTGTCGTCATTGAAAGATCCCTCAGGCCGTCTCGCCCGGTGGGCACTTCGCCTGCAAGACTATGACATCCGCGTGCTGTACCGCAATGGAAGGCAACATGCTGACGCCGACGCCCTGTCGCGCTCTCCCTTGCCTGACGACAATGCCAACAACTCAGTGTCTCACGTTGCCATTTCTTCGATTAGCATTCATGCTATTGCTACTGAACAGCGCAAGGATCAATGGATTGCCTCACTGATAGACTTGCTGACTGATCCATCCACTCCATCCACTCGAGCGTTGCGTCGTCAAGCCCACCATTTCGCCGTTCGCGACGACCTCCTCCATCGACGCAATTACAACGGTGACGGCCGCCAGTGGCTACTAGTCATACCTCGCAGTCTGCGCTCTGACATATGCGAATTATTTCATTCTGATCCGCAGTGTGCGCACTCCGGGGTATCGAAGACTTACCACCGCATTCGCCAACGGTACTTTTGGCGCGGCATGTACCGCTACGTGCAGAAATTCGTTCGCTCCTGCATAGAATGTCAGCGCCGCAAAACTTCAACGCACTTGTCGCCGGTAGGTCTGCAACCTCTACCTTGCCCTGCCAGGCCGTTTGGGCGCGTTGGCATCGATTTGTATGGGCCACTTCCACTAACGTCGGCTGGTAACCGCTGGGCCATTGTTGCTGTGGACCACCTCACGCGATACGCCGAAACGGCCGCTCTTCCCGCGGCTACAGCGAGCGATGTGGCTTCCTTTCTGCTCCAACGATTCATCCTGCGACACGGCCCACCCCAGGAACTGCTCAGTGACCGAGGCCGTGTCTTCCTGTCTGAAGTCGTTCAAGCCATTCTCAAAGAGTGCAACGTTGTTCACCGCAAAACTGCTGCTTACCACCCGCAGACGAATAGTCTCACAGAACGCTTCAACCGTACGCTGGGCGACATGCTCTCCAAATACGTCACCGCCGATCACACAAATTGGGATTCCATTCTACCCTTCGTCACCTACGCATATAATACCGCCCCTCAGAGCACTACTGGCTTTTCACCTTTCTATTTATTATATGGAAGGCACCCGTCACACACCATCGACACGATACTTCCGTACAGGCCAGATCCGTCTGAGTGGGCACCTATTTCTGCTACAGCCAAGCTTGCTGAAGAATGTCGAGAGCTTGCAAAGACCTTTACGGCGCATGATCAAGAGCGGCAAAAAAGCATTCGCGCTGACGCCAGTACTACTGCACCCACATTCCTCCCTGGAGCGCTCGTCTGGCTCTCGATCCCTACTACTGCAACTGGCCTATCTTCAAAACTATTGCCTAAATACGAATGCCCCTACCGTGTCGTCAAATGCACTTCCCCAGTCAACTACTTGATTGAACCCATCGAACAATCTTCGGACATGCGTCGTCGAGGACGCGACATTGTTAACGTGGAGCGCCTCAAGGCCTACCATGACCCGCTCATTGTAACCAGCTGTTAGGTCGCCAGGCGGCTCCCTTTTCGTACCCGGGGTAGTTGTGGTAAAGCCTTTGAACAGTGGGTCATCCTCTTCAGCGCCTTCTAGTGGGTCGCCCTTTTTCTTAAGAAAAAGAGCAGCTCGTGCAGAGAGTCGATCCCCGCATTGACTGTCGCTGTCGTGAATCATCGCTGAGTGTCCGTCAATAAACCGCTTAACAATATATATATATATATATATATATATATATATATATATATATATATATATATATATATATATATATATATATATATATATATATATATGATTCAGAAAAGAAATTTTGTGGGTCCGGTGCAAATATAATTAGGAATAAAGGAGCACACCTACGAAAATTTGATAGTTGTTTACTCTACGTTTCGGCCGTGGCACGCCCTTGTCAGGATTGACAGAAATACGAGTATGTGGCCGCTTTTATGGGCAGGCATGAACACGTCAGTACAAAAGACGTGCGATCAGCATGTGAGTGTCACAAAAATTCTTTGAAAGAGCCGTGACTACACTAAAAACCAATAAAAAATGTAATACAATACGCTCACACTCACATGCTGACACTCATGCTGACACCACATGCTGACATGCTGACACCACATGCTGACACTCACATGCTGATCGCACGTGTTTTGTACTGACGTGTTCATGCCTGCCCATAAAAGCGGCCACATACTCGTATTTCTGTTAATCCTGACGAAGGCCGTGCCACGGCCAAAACGTAAACAACTATTCAATTTTCGTAGGTGTGCTCCTTTATTCCTAATTATTTATATATATATATTATTTGCGCTATTAAAACTACTACGCTTGTTACTCTCGGCGCAAGAATTGAATGCCTTTGAATTTTCTCAATTTCTATATATATATATGTGTATTATTTTTGCTAATAAAGCTACTACGTTTGTTACTCTCGGCGCAAGAATTAAATGCCTTTGCATTTCCTCACAATTTCCTTCGGAGATATGGAGGCATTTTTTTGATACAGTCGTTTTTGTCTCCATGAGCGAATCGTCTCGTTGACCACGACAATTACCGTGACACTAGCCCATATATGGTGGAGAGGGAGGTGCGCTCTTCACTACATTTATGTATACGCAAGAGCGGTTGGACTGGAGAGTGGGGCACAGGGAGGACAGAGAGCAAACAGCGAGAAGCACGCACCGGCGAAGCATGCACGTAATCTCTCCTACACTCTCTACACAAGCGTGAACTCCGCCGAGCTCCCGCGATGCGAGTGCCCTCACATGCCAGAGCGCGCGCTTTTCTTCTCCTCTTCATTCGCTCGGAGGATTTCAAGCTGGACGGTTGTGCCCTCGCGATCTCCGACTTCAGCGTAGCTCCCGCCGACTGGTTCGCCCTCCGCGGTCTCCTGATGCCGTGCAGCTCTCGCATTGTGGCACCCCGCCCTTGGACTGCTTCGACCGGATCCCCACTTTCCTATCTCCTTCTTTTTTCCTCTCGTTGGCTGGCGGCTTCTTAACCATCTATTCTCCTTCTATTCTTTTTATCCCTCCTTCCTTCTCCCTATATCTTTTATTCCCCATATCCCATTCCTCTGCTGACCTGTTGAGGTGTCCTCGTAAGGAGAGACAGTTACGGGTCGGCACCTTTCTTTTCTTTTCTTCTGATATAACCACAATCTCTCTCTCTTCTCCACTCACTTTCCCCTATTCCGCCCGCACCACCTGCTCCGGTTGAAGCGGCGGGGATAAACGCTCGCGCCCGCAGCTGTTGCTATGAGAGAAGGAGTGAGAGCGGAGAGATAACAACTGCTGGTGCATGGACACCGACAGACGTCTGATATGCCCCGACTAAAAAAATGTATTCGCATTTAAAACAAAGCTCACAGTCTATCAATCCACTGCTTTGAAGCGTTTGTTAAAGGGGCCATAAAACACCGTTTTAAGTAGGCATGAAATGAAAGCGCTGGAAGAGCTTATTGCTTCACGAGTTCAACGCCGCAAATGCTTTAAGAATCCGTCCACTGCGAGTGATGTTACAAAGGTTTGTCGCATGCTTCAATTGCATTCTCTCGTCTCTCGCCCCGACGAAAGCGCTAGAAGCTAAGAAGCGAGGGATGACAGGGCCACAGAAAAATGTCTCGTGCGCCTCACAAATTTGAGCATTTTTTTTTCAAATGCGCGGCCGTTTCGGTGTGATCGCACACGCACGTGTAGGCAACTAGTGGCCTCCCACTGTGATCTCTGTAACGAGTGAGCGCGCCATGTTCAAATCAGCCAATGGTTGATAGATTGGTCATTGAAGTGTCATTTCTGGACACATAACGTGATTTGTCCAGCGAAGAGAAGGCAAATATAGGTGACTTAGGTAATTTATTGTGAATTCCAGGCCGCGTGCTGTATAATATTTGGTTCACGTGTTGTCTGGACCCTCTACTACCGATCGGCAGCGTTTTCTCACCATGCTCAGAAAGTGTTTTGTTTTCCGTCACAATGTTTTTATTTCCATAACCACTTTACCGAAGGAAGTCTCGAGTGCAGGTGAATTACAATTCAAGAGTCCTACCGGGGTTCCAAAAAATAGACTTCATGTCGACAGAGTAAAAATAGTACCTCGAGAATTCCTAAATTTTTAAATGAAAGTATAATATAGCACCGAAAATTCACGAGGAGGTACTGTGCTTCCGTGATCGAAGCACGGTCATCACAGGTCCTACACAGAGCATGGGCACATGACTGTTCTTTGCACTATTCCGAAATGTAACTAGGCAAAGCAGTGCCATCTGAGCGCATATAGCCCTATAGATAAATGAATGAATGAATGAATGAATGAATGAGCTCCCATTAAAGCTCTGCGCTTTCAAATTTCTGGTGGGATATTAGAAAGCTTAGAAGTAACAAAAGGCAGCATCAAAAGGCTGTTTGACCTACCATTTCATAAGCAGCAGCAGTGCCCCTTCGTCCCATATCTGCACCGCGTCCATGAGCCCTGAGTCCGGGTGTACAGGCCGGTTACGTTGGTGACGCAGCGACGGCGAATACCGAGGACCGTCGCTTGGCATCGCTGCAAAGAGAATGTTGCATCTATTCAGTAACACTGGGCACAAGAGCATTGTTGAAAAGTTGTCAACTGTCTATAGCATGTTTTATTATAAAAAGCCATTGTATGTCAAGGTATTATTATTGACGTTCACTTGACAGGTTGACATTGATTAAAGAGCGATGCTGCGACTCTGACTGGAACGAGGCGGCAACGTCAACAAAAATGTCCAAAGCATCAGAGCGAGAAGCCACCCAAACCCAGAGTTTGAAAGTGAAGGAGGAGAAGGGCCAGTCATTCCTTGCCAGAAAAAGCAATAAATACACAACTACTTAATGTAATTTGTTCATCGCATTGCCTGTATCACGGAACATAGCTCTGTAAAAAATATCAGTCGTCATTACACAAGGCACACGTTAAAACCGCTGTACCACCCATTTCTCAGCCCTTCGGAAGACTGAAATATGACCCCACCTACGATCACCTTCCGCTCTGTTTCGAATGTGGAGAAAGCGCCCACACCTACCACCCCTGTCAGTTCCGCGTCATAGGGGTACGGGACTTGGCCGTCTATGCGATGCGTCCACAGTCATGACCACGATCATGCGACATCATCAACTATGCCAAACCAGCCAAGTAGAGACCTCGACGTTGATGACATTTGAGTCGCCGGGGCACTTACACTCTCCTCAGTGTTGAACATGCAATGACGTGACCCGGGACAGGCCAGACAGCCTGCATTCAGAATAATAAAGACAGAAATGGACATGCGACTGCTGTTCGACCAAATACCACAGACTCTCGAACACCGATGTCAACGTTTGATGATCTTACTGGTCGACCTAGTGAGGGTAAACCCCCATCGAGTAAAAGTCAAGAATTGGAGATTGAGCCCTGCGTAACAGCGAAGCAAGTAGTAGTAGTAGTAGTAGTAAGAACCAAGAAATAATGATGCCAGGAAATGTTCAGGGGCCGGCATTAGAAGCCATTGTGATGTAAAATGTGAAGAAAGAAAAGCGGACGAAAAGGTGACTTGCCTCCGGCAGGATACGAACCAGCGACCTTCGAATAACGCATCCTATGCTCTGCCACTGATCTATGGGGGCGGTCATCTCTATACCAATATTATACGGTATATAAGCGCATCTTAACGTGGAACTTCAGTCAGCGCCACCTGTTGCCATTGAGGCAAATGTGCAACACTTTTTTTTTTTGCTGGTTTTGGCGTCACGTAGCATGTGATCTTATTGCAGAATGGCAGCTCAATAGTAATTCCTCGCGCACCACTTCAAGGCATCTAGTCTGCCAGAACAATACCCTGACTATGAACGAAGGACAGCTGCTTTTTTCTGCGCTTTTTTTTACACCTCCGTCGTACCGTTCACTGTACTCCAATCTGCCAGGTCATGATGTGTTGAAACGAGTGCGTAACATTTATGTCCCTCTAAATTAAAAAAAAAGATGAAACAGTTTTAGTTCAGTGTACGCAAGGCTGTACCTCTGCAACGTGCTGCGCGCTGCGTACGCTCTCCAACATCATTAGTTGATCGTGCGATACGTGTGAAACGTGTACAGCCCCTGAGCGTCAACAGGCCAGACGTTGATTGTTGCTTCACGCCATCTATTGGAGAAACAAAAAGATGTAATAACCGATATTTGTCAACGCAACACACAGGTCAGGGCATGAGACAAGGCGATCTTTCCCGAGGACGAGTAGTGGTTCGGGGTTTTGAAGCTATGTGAACTAGAAATATGAGAGAGAGAGACGGTGAAGACGATCGCTTACTGTCAACTCAGCATTTACTCTTTGCTGCAGACATTTTCTAAGATTTCCAGACAATCACTAAACTGGGGTTGCTAAACACAAAATACAAAAATGCCCCCATTGGCGGTGGCACCTTCATGTGTCATTCGTCACGTGCCGTGATAGCTGGTATCACAAATATGGGGGCACCGTGTGCGAGAAAAATTATCTGAGTTTCTGTTCTGTTCTGTTCTGTTTTAACTGTTTTGCTGTGGAGAGGTAGAGGTGCCTATTGCCTCGGCTACTCCATATCACAAAGTTTTGCAGCGAAATATAAAATAGTAATACAGAACAGTAACCAAAAATTAACAATACGGAAAAAAACAAAAAACATAATAGCACACTGAAACCAGTTCAAATATCATGCCAATACGCAGTTTTCTTAGCATAGTTCACACAGTCATAAACTATTTACACGCACACCTTACCATTCTACTGTCAGTATATACATGACCACATTCTATATGTACCCATCTCTGGCTGTCTATCATAGGCGCTTGTCCAGTCCAGTCTCCACTAAAAAGTCTGTCAGGAAGATTATTGCCTTTTTCTAGAGATGCATCTCAGGCCATGGTCCAAGTTTTTCTTTATTGTGAGAGGCCTTCTGTCCGAACTTGCTAATTTGTTCTTTAATTTTTCTCTTTCATTCGCGTATTTAACGCACTCCAAAAGAATATGGCGAGCATTTTCTTCTGCATGACCACAATAACATTCCGGTGAGTTGGATCGATGTATCTTGTGCTGGAAGCTGTTTGTGTATGCTACTTCCAATCGAAGTCGGTGGAATAATGTCTCTAGGTGTCGTGGGAGGTCTGTAGCTATGGAAAATTATCTGTGTGGATCAACTTCATAAAGTATCGTTTCCTTTGATTTAGGGCTCTCAAACCACTTCTCCATCGAACAATGGTTAGCTCCTTGTGATATAAAATGTCGAATATCCGCCCCAGACATAGGGATTGCGCAATCCCGTCCTTTCTTCAATGCTTCCTTCGCGAGGCTATCAGCCTCTTCATTTCCCTTTATTCCAATGTGGCTGGGTATCCATTGTAATACGATCTTGTGACCATGCGATGAGGCATATTCCACAGTTTCTGCAATACATTGTGCTATTTCACCATTTTTGTAAGGTGATCTCACATTTCTGATTATCTGAAGAGCAGGTTTGCTATCAGTGCATATCACCCATTTTAGTGGCCCAGGAATCTCGCATATAAGCTTAACTGCTTCAAAGATAGCAACCAATTCTGCTGTCGTCGATGAAGATTTGTGCGATAATTTGTACTTCTTTTTCTGAATTTCGGGTATAAAGACCGCACAGGCTGACGCTTCTTCAGTGCATGATCCGTCTGTATATGTCTTCGTTTTTTTATTATGCATTACATGAAGCTGATGAAGTACCGAATGTGCCGCTACTTGAGGTGCCATGTCTGCTTTCTTCTCTATGCCATCTATTTCACGGATAACGTTGAGAAGTGGCAGCGTCCAAGGTGGTTTTGAAGGCTTCCATTGTTTAAATTCTGGTACTACTGCTTGAAATGATGATATGGTATCCTGTAGTCTCGTTGCCGTCCTTTGTGTTAGTGCACCAGATAAAAAATTACTTTCATGTTGCGTGAAAATTCTGAATAAATTTCGAAATGTTTCTTTAGTTCGGAGTACTGCCAAAGGTGGCTCTCGAGTCTCCAGATACACTAAAGCACTGGAAGTTGACCGTAGTAAACCCAGACATACCCTCAAGCTCTTTGGCAATATCAAGTGAAGTCTCCTTTTGGTGGAAGCTGGAAGTCCGTACAGCAGAGGCAGTGCGTAAGTTACGATGGGGCGTATCCAGGCAACATGTAGGGCTAATAACGACTCTGTAGTACCACCCCATTTGGCCCCGCAGAGATGCCGGAGGATTCGAATGGCCTGATTCACTTTTTGTTCAAGGGACTGGACATGAGGCGGCCATGTTAGTCTCCGGTCTAAAATTACTCCCAAGAATTTATGAGTTTTAACCATTTGAATATGCTGATTTTGCAGAATAATCTGGAAATTTGCAGGTCTTTTTAAGGTAAACGGAAGTATGGCTGTTTTAGCCAGACTCAGTGCCATACCTCTTTTTTTTAGAAAACGGTCTACATTATCCAATCCTTCTTGTAGAGTTTGTTCTACATCCAAAAACGGTGGACCAGACGTTCATATACTTATATCATCAGCATATACTGAACATCTGATGTTAGGTGGAAGATTATACGGCAGCTGCGTCATGACTGCATTAAAGAAAGTAGGGCTTAGCACGCTGCCCTGTGGCACTTTTTGGTTGACAAGATCTGTCGTTGGGCCCTCCTGCGTAACTACAAAAGTTTTCCGGTGATTCAGGAAGTCAGCGATCCAACGCAGTATCTTGCCCTTGAATCCCTGTAACGCCAGGCCACCCAGAACGTGAACGTGACTCACTGTGTCGTATGCTCGGTGGACATCAAGGAATACAGCGACAGTGATGTTTCCTTGCGTTAAATGGTTTTTCACATCTGTGACCAAATCCAGAATGCAGTCCATTGTGCATCTACCTCTTCTGAAGCCGGCTATGCTTTATGGTAGTAGTTTTTTCATGTCTTACCACCATAAAATTCGTTCATTGATCATTTTTTCCATCACTTTCGAAAAACAACTTGTCAAACTAACCGGCCTAAACGAGTCCAACTGCATAGGGCTCTTCCCTAGCTTTAACGACGGTACTACTTTTGATATCTTCCAACTTTCCGGAACTTTTTCTTCTTGCCAATTTTTATTATAGATGTCCAACACGTGTAATTTTCCTTTTTGGCACAAATTAGCAAGAGCAGCGTATGTAACTCCATCTGTTCCTGGTGAACTTGTTCGTTTTACTGAAGACGGCACATATTGGAGCTCCTCTGGTGTGAAGCTGTCATCCAGATCTGATGAACTAATCGCAGAGAACTTTGTTACAACTGCCGAAGCTGATTCTGCTTAGGATTTATATTCGCTAGTTTGGGCGGTCTCTCCATTTCTCAGTATAAGATCGCAAATTCTTCGGCAATCACACGTTCGCTCACTCCCCGAGACAGCGCCAGAGCCTGCAGTGGTCTCGAGTGGACTACTGCTGTCGGAGGGCACGTACCATGTTCCACAGTTGAGGCGCTGAGGTAAACGGAGAAAGTGAGGCACATAATTCTTGCCACCTTTTGGTTGAAAGTTTCTGCAGTTGGTTATGGAT